TTAGGGATTTAGGGAAGATAAATCCTTCACTTTTTTGTAGTTTATTTGGGAGAGGAATTGGTGGAACCTGTCCTCTTTCTCCCCCTCGATAAGAGCAGTGCTTTTATACCTCAGCTGGGACCAGGGATTGGGTTGTGCTTGCTCACCAGTGTTTGTCCTTTTTGACTGATCACTGTTCTGGCCTTCCTATCTTCAGTGAAAAGGGCTCCTAATCCTTTCTGGATGCCCAAGTCTTGGACTGTGCTTAAAGGTCTTCTGTTCCTCACACATCTAGTCATTGCTCTAGACTTGCATTGTCTACCTTCAGTACGCTTGTCATCTTCAATGTGCTGCCGTCTGCACTTGGGCTTGCCAAAAAAAATTAACAGCATTGCATTGAAGCAGCTGCATGGTTCTGCCTGTTGCTTGTGGTGCTCTGCTCTGTCATTTGGAGACTGGTCTGAGCCCAAAGACCCCGGTGTCGTACTCTTAGCTGATAGCTCACTGCAGTTGTTTACAGTTTAGACTATAGATGGTGATCCATATTTCCCATGAGGTGTACCTGTAGACTTCTCAAAGTCTTTGTGCTCAGGATCCCAGCAAATTCCTGTCTTTGAATGATGTTCCACAAATGCCTGGTGTCAGGCCTGAGAGCCAGTGGTGCATCTACCTAGCACAGCTTGCAATATGTCTACTGATACCTCACAGAGCTTCTGGTCTGCTTTAAAAGTGTCTGATGAATTTTCTTTCTCTCTGCCTGGAATTTGTAGAACATCAGGTATTTTATATGTCTATCTAAGGACTGGTCTCCTTTTGAGACGTTGTAAATCACTAATCCTATAAAATACATTGAGGCAGTAAAGGCAAAGGGCAGGAAAAAAAGAAAGAAGGAAAAAACCCAACTTGTTCTACCCATTCGGGATGTCTCCAGATTATATTAATGGTACTTTGGCCCGAGGGACTCTGCAGGTGATGCATAGCACAAGAAATTTACACAAATTCAATGTTTATGCAGAAAAAAAAGCAGCAACTTCCCTTTTTTAACACTACCTTTGTAAAGTAGCCAGGCCTAGCACAGCACAGACCTTAGCACTTCATCAACCTTCTGCCATCATGGAAGTTGGAAATCCAAATGCAAGATCTTTGGATAGGATGGAGTGACTGTTCTTGGAACCCAGCCCTTGCTGTAGTGTTAGAGGCACAGAAATTTGGCATACTTGCAGAATGCCAGTCGGGTCCTGCAGTCATTTCTGGCGAGCTTTGCCTGGAATTAGGGAATAGCAATGCCACGGTGCAATAACATAATTAAGGATGGTGGAAATGAAGACAAGAGCATGAATGTGTTTCTTCAGACTAGTGCTGTGCCAACACAACACTGCTGCAAGGACACAGACAGTAACCAATAATGCGCAGAGACCAAACTGCTTCTTGTTCTGGCACCAGTTTATTGCAGGGATCTCCAGGCAGTGCTGCACGCTATGGTTTGAACATGCCCTCAAGCTCTTTAGCAGTCAGATGCATGCAGCAGTGGTTGGTTTTTAGAGAAGAGCTGAGAGGACATTGGTGTTAGATCCATCTTCCACAGACTTGGTAAGGTGTAGTTCTTTAAGTGGTACCACTGCAGAACTTCTGAAGGAAGTTGAGTGGATCTCACTGATAACCCAGCATCTGCATTGCAGAATGCAACAGGAACTCAGATAAACTGAAAGCTTTGATGTACAAGTTCAGGTAAAGGGAGGGTTACTGACTGGATCTCTTGGTGATTTGGTGGTGATGGTGTCAGGCAAAAAAATCCATCTCTGGTTACAAGAAAGCTTTGTGCAGAAGTAGTGTGCTGCTCCAAATGTATTTGATGGGTAGTGCTGGGATTTGTGTTGGTGCTCATTAGGGAAACTCAGAAGTGGGATGCTGGGTTTAAAGAGGCTAGCTGGTAGGGTAGAGTTAGAGAGCTTGGGCTGTGGAAGACTTGGATGGGGTAGTGTGTTACAGAGGGTTTCCCAAGAGTATGGAGCAAACTTATGAATAATTAAAGGATGTAATTGACTGACTTACTAAATTTGCAATTTGGAATGGAGATTTTCCTCCTGCAAGCTTCTTGCACACTCTCTGACTGGAATGCTGTTTCTTAAATATTTTGCATGACTGAAATCTCAGCAGTACTGCTCATGCACTCATTGCCTCTTCTTCAGCAGCTCTGATCTTTTGCTGACATCAACTGCACACATGACTCACTTTCCCAGTATGTATATCCTGACTCTTCTGAGTAGTTTTCCTTCTCCATGGGGCCATACTGTAGTTATATTTTAAGTGTCTGTGTATACTTATTATTATTTTCTGTTTTAGTTGCTGTCATTATTTTATTTTTACATTCAGTTATACATTTATTTTATACAATGTTTTGGAGATGAAAGTCCTTAACATTTTTGTTTTTATGTACTATGCTTTCAGTGTTATAACCATACAATTGTGGCTTCTCATGGTGACATATGACTGCTATGAATGTTGGGCCTTTGCAATGCATTTTGGAGGTCACTACTACACATTTGATGTTTAGGAGGTTGACAGGTATGGCTGTAGGTAAGTGGAGAGTATTCTTTGGGTGAGCTATGGGTTATGGAGAATGCCTCCTATGCTGTAGAGGAGAGCTGTACACTTAGTGGATTATTTAGCATTGACGGAGAACTTGGGACAGTAGAAGGAAGATGCCAGCAAAGTTTAATAGAGCTTCTGGACTGTGAAGAGGAGCACCTTGGTAGTATTTGCATTTGGGAGGAATTTCTCCAATGCAGGCTGGTAGGTTGATAAAGTATGTTTTCTAGGTAAATATAAAACTCGGATGTATAACCAAAGAGTAAGTGAAAGAGCAGGGTCATTACTCACTGGTGTGTTCTGGGTGAGAGGCAGATTATGTCAATAAACAAAAAATTACAGCATATCTCTGATACAAATATTGCCCTATAGACACTGATCATAACAGGGTTTCTGAATGACATCTAGTTCTTAAGAACAAGGAATGACATGTGGACCCACCTGGATGTCCTTTTACATTGCTAAGATACTCATGGACTTTGGTTATGCTTATAGACTTAGAGTGGGTACAAGAACATCTCTGAATCCTTTCATCCAACAGCATTTTTGTTTGGGGAAAGAAGTTGCACTTCACACTTGATACTCGTCATCGCTTCATACATTAGAAAGCACAGTAGGCAGACTGCAGTTGAATTAGTATAAGGCTTACTGGATCATATTTGTTCTCAAAAACCTGGTTTGATTTTTTTTCTGTATGTATTAGGAAAGTAGCTCCTGAAACAGGAATATGAAGTAGAGGTGGGAAGTGTGGTTTTCACATGTAGCAGTCTAAGTGAAAAGTCCCTATCTCAGTCTTGATGCTAAAATCAGCAAAAGTGCAGGAGGATGATTTGAATGTCCACGTAGGTGCTGTTTGGACTAACAATGCAGAAACTATATACAAAATGTGGATCATATTTAATGGTAATGCAGTTTAAAAAAAAAATCTTAATTTCCAATGTAAATGCACAGATGCAGTGTAAAACCTTTGACTTCCACAGTGCAATGTACAGCGGGGTATTTTAAGATGAGCATGCAAAGGCCAGTCTAATTAAAGGAAGATCTTAGTAAGATTCCATTTAAAAAAAAAAAAAAATGGCTGCAAAGGGTTAAGTCACCATTTTTTTCAGTCTTCTATCTCATCCCATTTTGAATCTTTTTGTCATGTTGTGAAGTTACTATTAGAACAGGAGAACGAGACTTCCAAATTAGTGAAGTGAAACAGCATCACAGCTCCAGCATTGGGAGGTTCAGAGCAGCCTCTGAGCAGAATCATGATATTTCTAGTACTTGCACAGGAGGGGAGAGACAAGTAGTAAAGACAAAAGCTGGGTCTGGATGTGCAGATGCTGAATGTCACTGCACCCAATTGCAACTATTGTCACATATAACTCTCCACATTAATTTTGTCATCTCCCTGCAGGCAGTAATTAGAGTGTGCTGCCGTGAAGCATGGGGAGATCTCATTTGGGTCTGGGAGTGATCACAGCATTGGTCAAGACGTTAATTGGCTGATTGTGAAGCGGTGCTGCTTTAATAGACAAACAAGGGTCACTGTAAAATCCTGACAGAGCCTGGAAAGCCTCCTGTGTTTTTCAAGAGGTGATATTACAAGAAATGGGGCTGTAATGTCTGTAAAACTGAGAGCCATTTGTGTGCATTTCACACTGGGAATCCATCTCCTATGTTAATTTGTCAGCTTCTGATTTTTGAACTCTTGGGTCTTGTCATCCTGTCATTTGAAGTGGGGAGACCACACCTGTTTCTACTGTGTTGTCAAACTGGACCCATGCCTGGCTAGCCTCTGCATAAAGTGGTATGGGGACATAGGTCTCCTGTGCTAGCAAAGTCAGACCATCCCAGCGTGGTATCTGCTTTGCTTCTGCAGTTTAGTGTCAGAACCACTTTGCTGTTCTTTCATCCAGGTTGTGTTGATGCTCTACAGTAATGACGTCATCCAGGACCTCCGAGAGGCCACTTCACATCCTTCCCAAGTAATACCCATGTTGCCTTCCAGTCTTGGGAAATGCTGGCCTGTCTTACTGCAAGTGCCAAAGCCCATCAGCTTCCACTATAGTCAGTGTGAGCTGCAGGTGCTTTTCACTTACGATAAGGCTACCTTTCCTTGAGGTGCATGATGAAGAGATCGCATACTGATGTGACTTGTGAAGAACAATGTTTAGTAGTAGACGAGGAAGGATATCAGTTCTTTCTCAGGTGGGATTTGCTTGCTGAGTTCAGCACGAGAACTCACTGCTTCATTGCGGTTACAGTGCCTGGTGTTACCAGCCAGCGCTGGGCGTGTAGCTGGTACAGCAAGCAAGACTCATTCTCCATAATGCTTTAAGGCAGCCATACACCAACACATGGGAGATTAATTGAAATGTATAGCTGTGCTTTTCCCTTTTTGTTCTTCCCTTACCCTGGAATTGCCACAGTGTCCTCAAGATGAAATGTCTGAATCTGGGCAGTCCTCAGCAGCTGCCACACCAAGCACCACTGGAACCAAGTCCAACACTCCAACGTCATCTGTGCCCTCTGCTGCCGTCACACCTTTGAATGAAAGCATCCAGCCCATCAGTGAATACAATGGCACAACCAAGAGCAATAAGAGGGCACGAGAAAAACGGAACAGCCGGAACATGGAAGTCCAGGTCACACAGGAGATGAGAAATGTCAGCATAGGTAAGGGAGCTGGAACTTGAGTACTTGGTCGTTAAAGTAATTGACTTCGCAGTGCTTTGTGTCCCTCTGTTACAGGAGGAGGCTGGGATACTGAGGAGTAATCATCTTCATAAGTATAGAATTTGAGGTAGCCTTACTTAGAAAGATACATGAGCAAGACAGGGCTAGAAGTTTTCTGGGTAGCAAATTATTAAAACATCAGTAATATGAATAGTTTCACAAATACACAGGATGGGAATAGGTTATAGAGTTCAGTCCCATGCATTTGCATTCATCCATGTCATAGAACCTCTTTCATGAACAGTCAAGTCCCATCTTAGTCTAACTGAGCTTTTGGAAAGCTGTTTCTGGACCTCATCAGTATGATAGTTAAAAGCTTCCATTTAGTTTTCTCTCTGGATTTATTCGTAAGTATTTTATATCCAGTTGTTTGTATGCCAAATTTGTCAGTCGGGTTAAATATTTTCCCTTCTATGTGTTTATCCCACACCTTGATGTGTTTAAAAATAGCAATTATATCCAGTTTTTTTTCTCAGCTAAATAAGCTGTTTTCTTTTAGTCTATTTCTCATATAAGAAACACCCAAATCTTTGGAAGTTACAGTTGTTTTCTTTCCACTTCCTGGAGTCCTTTAGTAATTTGCATTCATGATTTCTAGTCAGGAAAGCCATCACCTAAGCCTTTAGCACCAGAATATTTAAAATGGTGTAATAACATGATGAAAGCCCCTTTCTGTGCTTTTTAATATAGCTGTGCCAATGTAGTATCTGAGAAACTCCCAGCTTGTATTGTATTTAGACTTGCAGCAGCGTTCAGAGATGAGAAGTGGTTTGTTTTACAGGTCCACTTACATACAAAAGGACTGTAAAACTAGCTGAAGATCATAAGGAAAGTCTGTACAGGAGCGCAGGGATGAATGTAGGTCCCCAAGGTTAGCATCTACCAGATGATCATCCTTTTTCCCAAGTAATACAGAGGAAATTCCTCTGCTAACCTTCACAAGCTGGTTCCTAACAAATTAAGACTATAAACCAACACGTAACACGTTTTGTAGAGGCATTTGAATGAGAACTGTCATGACTGAGTCCCAATCTGTATTTATATTAGCAGCTGAGGGGGTCCCAGGGTCACAGATGTCGTTCTGCCAAAAACCAATGTAGTTTTCCATAAAAGCATATGGCTTCTGCATAGCCAGCTGTTAAATGTGATCTGTTCGGTGATCCTGGACAAGGCAAGTCAGTATAAACACTGGTATCAGAGAAACTGAGCACGGATGTCAGTAGTTCGAATGCCCACTAAATACTTATCCTTATTTTTACAGTTGCTGCTTTACAAGCTCGTTTACCATCCATAGCTTTCTTGGGTCAAAGTCTGCTCCCTTCTAGATGTGTGCAACTCTGAAGTCATTGTGCATGTGACAGCTGCTTTTTTCTTGGTGGAAGTACTGTGTTGTGGAATCCGCTCAAAGATAGTTGTATCTTTCTTGTGTGCTCTGCATATTCAACCTTTCATCTGTTTCTCACACGTAATGCAGAATCAGATCTCCATGCTGAGGAGAAACACAGATACTTGAATTTTTAGTATGTATTTTATGCATCTATAATTAAAATGTCTGTCAGTGATGCAAATGCCTTAGAGCTGAACTACCAAAAAAAGGTGCTCAAAGGTATTTGCAGAAAAGCCTCCCAGCTTGAAAACCTAAAGAAAAAGAAGCCTCTGTTTCTCTCAGCTTGAGAACCATTGGTGTATGGATGCCTACTTTGGAAACAGATACACATCTCAGTTTGTCTTCAAACATGGCATGTATTGCCAGCTGGTGCACAATGCCAGCCTAAAAGAATAGAATTAACACTCAAGTTGTCATGGGCTTTGTATATTTGGCAACTGAGGCTCTTTGGAAAGGTCAAAAATTTCGCATCTAACATCAAGGGACTAAGGTAGTTTACAGATTAGGTCTCTAATCCGTCTGTAAACAGACACTGTGTTCATATTGCTTGTTTAGAATAGGTGCAAGTCTGGGCTTTTGGACAGTTTGCTATCCAATAAATGTGACTTGACAAAAGAGGAGGAAGTTCCTTATTAATTAAATACTGGCTTCAGGCTGTAGATTGTACAGAAACCAGAGTAGATTTCATGTATCAGTTTTTAAGCGAAATTTCACTGTAATGGGTATCTAAACCAGTTGTAGACTTGAGAATTTGTATTGAAAAATTATTTCTATTAAAACTAAATAGTGCCAATTCATAATTACAGTAGTCTGTGAAGCTATACAGAAAATCACTGTATTGTCTTTGATCTCAGCTAAAGTTGCATGGTGGTTGAAGAGTTTTTACTGATAGATAAAGAGTTTATTTTTAATTTATTTTAATGCATAAAGTATTTCTTACTATTATATTTTAATGAGGGTTCAGGCCAATGACCTTGGTGACACTCTGGTATGGTGGGGGGGAGGGGAAGCAGGAAGTCTTCCTGCTCTGGAATTGTGAGGGCACCTTCCCAGCACTGGTGCATTTGTGACTCTAGATGACCAGCCACTTTCTGTTCCTATTTCAAGACTTTGAACATGACACTATGAAGTTTTGAAACCTTGATATTCAAAGCTGCAAATGTCCCTTTGAAGAACACCATCCTGTGAAAGTCCTGATCCTATAGATCATATGTATTGTCTTACCTAGGAATGGGCAGCAGTGATGAGTGGTCTGATGTTCAGGACATCATAGACTCTACTCCAGAGCTGGATATGTGTCAAGACCCCCGCCTGGAACGCACTGGTAACAGGTATTGATTGTGACTTTTCACTGTGTGAAAAGCTCTTTTGCTTGATTTTATGAGGAGTAAGGAATGGATGCTGTGGCTCACACCGAGTTCAAGATGGAGCTTTTTTGAGAAAGTCCATATATTCTGCATAATGCCAATAGGAGGTGTCCTGACCTTCCTTGAGTTCTCCAGAGAAGGCAGATGTCTGCTGGTAATCTGCAGAAGGATCTGTCCAGCTGACCTAGGACTGGGCTTGTTTGCCTTGCTGGATCAGGAGGACAAGAGAGATGGAGCAGTGAAAGGTTTAAGACAGGCAAAGGGAACATGGGGGTAAGCTGTCAGGAGGAGGGAAAAGATGCATTTGTGTAATAAGAGATAGCTTTTGAATTCAGTTTTAAAACATCAAGCTTTTTTCAGTTTTAATTTTTGTAAGTGTTTGAAGAGCAGGAGCAGGGCTGCTCCACGATGGAGGACAAGCAGGAGTAACCCTAGCACTCCCAGTCCTGCAGGTTCTGAGCAGAGAGGGCAGAGCACTGATAACGAGCTCCATCAGCAGCCCCAGACAAAGCAAGGGGTTCAGTTAGGTCCTGGTGCTACCCATGAGCAGCAGGAGACAGGGCTGGAGACAGGTACACCTACAAGTGTAGCTCAGAGAAAGACTGAAGGTGCAGGCCAGAGGTTAAAGGGAGCCCTTAGACCATTGGGTGGTTGTGGGTCCCAGGCGAGGCTGGTCAGAGCAGTTTTGATCCCAGTGCACTCAGGACCTCGATGGAGTCCTCTGAATTAGCAGACTTTTACTGAACTACTCTGCTGCTCTGGTTCCTATCCATCACCTGTTTTGTGCTAATCCTATTTAGCTCCCTAAGGGCTATTAATTTAGCTGCCTAAAGTCTGTTAATTTTGGCACGGTATTTCTTTGAGGCATGTATTAGTCTAGAATTATTAGTCTAGGTGCCTTGATTAGTTTTACTAAGTTCTGGTGGTTAATTTGGCAGGATTCATTAATTTTTACCCTCATCTGGTGGGTAATTTGGCACTAGACCAGCAAAAAAAAAACCCTAGCTCTTACAGGTATGCAGAAGATAGTACCCTGACAAAGTTAAGGCAAGATTTTCTCACAGTCCTGTGAGAATCTGGACTGGATTCCCCCTGTTTGAGCACCCTCATCGAGAAGGATACGAGCAGCAAGAACAGATGTCACAGCCTTTCTCAACTGTGACACCACATACAGTTAAGGTCTCCTCACAATACATATGAGGCATGGACAATTTTTAGGGTCCAGTACAGGAGGAATCTAGGGTAGCCGAAAGAGCTCTGTGTGGGAAAGACAAAAGTGATGAGATCAGATTGAAAATTGATCTCATTGAAAATTGGTCAGACCTAAGGAAAAGAAGGGAACGGAGAGGATTGCTGCACTGGAAGCTCTTCGGGCGGTGATCTCTGATCCAGGTAGTGAGGCTGAAGGGTACAGGAGACACAAGCTAATGCTGCAGCTGCTGAACAGTGTGCTTGCTGCTTTAAAAGAAGAATGCTTTTGAGAGAGATACAACTTCTGAAAGTTGAGTGCTGAAGAAGTAGATTCAAGCTGAATTGGGTCTTCAGGTCAGATGCTGAGTGCTGGTTGCGTCTTGTCACTTGTGCTGTCCATTGGACTGCATGAACTGGTTAATCCCGGTGTAGTCAGGGCACCCATTTGTAACTCCTCAGTGCTTTCAGCTGTCTGGGGGGTAGCTGTAATTTTTCTGTTGAAAAAACCCACTGTTTTTTTTTTCCCTTTTCTCTGCAACATACTGTAACTCTGCAATATCAGAGACAGCAACTGCACCCCATTTGTAACTTCGAGGCTTTATCACCGAGATGTGATTTATCTAAGAATGAAATCACACAATTTGAGATATTCTCCAGTGGACCTTTCTGCTAGACTGCTGGAAAAATTGCACAGACTCTCTTCATGCTATCTGATTCCCCTCAAACAAGACAGGGCACTTAAAAGTGTTTTTACCCGCATTAGGGCCATTTTTTAGAGTAGGCAGTGACAATCCCAGAGGTTGCCTCACTCTTACCTCCTGTAACAGCTATTTTCTCTTTGAGCCATGAGACTGTCAAGAAATGCAAGAGGATTGTTGATGGTACCACAGACACGAAGAGGTGGAAATGTGCTCCCATATGATATGATTTGAAAACGTTAACTTTGATTTACCTTTAATGAAATACGTTTTGCTGACATGTGAGGAAGCATTCCGGCGCATAGAGTCACCCAGAGAAGAAACTAACCCTTCAGGCTAATTTCACGTACTAGTTGGCAAAGAAAAAAGACCATTGCTGTTTTCAACATTTGAGTCCTTATCTGATCTTACTGCTATCTGAGGTTGCTATCTAAATTGATAGGATTGTGGGAATCCTTGCAGAGTCTGCAAAGTCAGAGCTGAGAGCTTCTGCAAGTTGAAATTTTTCTATCAAATATTGAATAGCCATTAACTATTATGATTTAAAAGGAAGTCAGCTGGGTGAGCTTTGAGGTTGTGCTCGTTAGGTACTTGTCACTGATATGGGGAATAGAACATGCTTTTTTCATTACTCAGTATGTTCCCTGAATCAGCCCACAGTGAACAGGTGGAATGTACTCTCAAAGTTTTGATCACAATGGTTTGGGATGCTGCTCAGTATTTCAGAGAGAAATTTTCTAGCTTAAATGCTACCAAGTAACAAGAGTCCTTGTTTTTTTTCTTCCAACAACAGCCCAACACAAGGGATTGTGAACAAAGCATTTGGCATCAACACAGACTCTCTGTATCATGAACTTTCCACAGCAGGGTCCGAGGTTATCGGAGATGTTGATGAAGGAGCAGATCTGCTAGGTAAAAACTTGTTTAGAACCATTCTGTTTTCTCCGGTACAATGACAACTATATTAAGCTTCTTAGAAGCACTTACATTCTCTTTTTTTAAAGAATTTGGATGTTTAGCTGTTAAAAAAATGTCATGGAAATTGATACAAGTGACTGAAATATGTACCTGCAGTACAGTAATGCTTACTTAGAAAATATGCTGTTGGGTAACTTTTATTTGGGTTGTCTTTATGTGCGGAAGTTATTTTTCTATAGGATTCTCCCACACAAACAGTTGGAAGACAAAACTTGCTCCTTCTGCTTCCTCCCCCAAACTTCCCCTCCGCCCTGTAATTTTACACACTATCATTTTCACTTGGAATAAAGAGTTTGTTTGAAATTCACAAGAAAGTAACTCCTTTAGTTAAGTTCTTGAAGTTTAAATGATAAGGAGATATTATGGCCTGTACTGCGGTTTTTACCCTTTTATAGTCAGTCCAAGAGATGTAGTAAGGCTGATTTTGAAGAAGCTTGTAATACCTGAAGTCTGGTTATATTGCATATTCCTGACTAGGACTTAGAAGCAGTCAGAGAAGCAGCTTTGCCTCAGGTAGCAGTCTTAGCCCTTGCCATACTTTTTGGTGTGGGACTCTTGAGTATCTAGATCTTAATTAATGTCAGAATTTAATCAAGTTCTTAAGCCCTGCTGACTGTTTTCTTGAATCATGACAATATGAATGGTCTTTGAATACTTGGACAACACGGACAGCTGATGTAGTTTATAACTGTGTAGCTCACTTTCTGTTTTACTGCTTGATTTAAGGAGCGTTAGGAGACATGAGGACTCCAACAATATGCCTTTTATTCATTTAGTAGCAAGAGATCTGATCTGAAAGTGTACCTTTGCTTTCTGATGTAAGAGCTGCTTATGGATAATCTTGTAAGTTTGGTTCTATATATATATGTCCAGAACAGGATGAACTGAATCATATCACAGGCTTGCAGCAGCTCACCTTTGCAGAAATTAAATTAGGAAGATACCTGTGTCACCTTTGAGTCTTGTATTAGGACCCTCTAAAAGGGTATGTTTCTGAAGAGAGGATAGGTTTTACCCTATTCACCCAAGACTTAACCATAAAGACATGGACTGAAGACTGGAAAGGAGTTTCATGCAATACTTCTTGCTTTATCTAAGACAAAAATCTCTGAAATTCTCACTATTGTAGGCAGTATGCAACTGGAATGTAGGAACATGTTCCAGACTATCATCAGAACGCTTGCAATACCTTTTTGATATGGATAGGGGTTTTTTTAGAAGTGTGGTGCTAGCCCTGCAACATGCAAGAGAGCTCTCGTGCATGGATTGGTGACCATTGTCTGAAGTGTTGAAACGTCTATTCTTTCACCTCCAACTTAAGATTGCTGAAGAAAAAAAAATCTATGGAAAAGTCAAGATGAAAGCACAAGCTTGCTCTGCCTGCAATTGGAGCCAATGTGCAGATATGTACAAAATTATGAGTTTAGAAGGAAAAGCAAGATTTCCAGGTTTGAGAATCACTTGGATGCTAGCAGTCATTGCAGAAGTGCTGAGACTGCTGGTTAAAGTGAAGATGACAATAGAAACTACATGTGATGCTTAAAGCTTCATCTACTGGCTGTCGAATGAATTTTGGTTAGCCAGCCCCCCTATATTATTGGGAACTCTCTTCCTAGCAGAATCAAAGCATTAAAAACACTGACAATCTTGACATTGCCTATCTATTTTATTGTGGTCCTCAGGTGCTTCCTTATCTCCAGGAAGATACACAGGAGAGTGTATGGATGATTATATGGCTGTCTTCCCCTAATCACTGTGCCAAGGGCTGCTTTCCTGCTGTCCTCAAAATGGCTGGGACATCAGGGGTTGTCAGCTTCTAAGAGTTACTATTCAGGAAAAGTATTTGCTTGGTGTATGAACTGCTTCAGATAACCTGTTTCCCACTTCTGGAAGCCTGCCTTCTGGGAATCCAGTTGCCCATTGGATTACCCTGTAGTCTGACCCAATGATCAGTGAGAAATGCAAACTGTTGTTTTCAAAGGGCCAAAGATTTAAGTTGCCGAAACCTTGCAAGATTGATCACCACAGTTTCAGTTAAAGTCAAAGGTTCTTCAACTCTTCCAGTAACAAGGCTGCCCAAAGACCAGTGATTGATTTTGGGTTGTGAGACAACTGTTGTTTGGCAGTTACCACTTGTAATATAAACGTACAGAGACTTCGTTGAACAGTGCCCATGTAAGGGTGGCTTATGAAGACCACAGTGTGGCTTCTGAAGAGTACATTTCTGTGCTGGGACAATTTTCTGGTTTGAGCAGAGCAGCAAAACTCTTGCAGGTGATCACACAGCAGGCTAGCAGAATAGGAAGGCTTCTTTCCCCTGGTTCCTTTTCAAACCTTGGAGATGGGCTGTGATGAAATCGGGTAGTTCTGTGGCTTTCCTGTGAGAAATGTTAATGTAATTAACCCTTTTGTTAAGTTCTGGCTGCTGACTCTGTCCACATAACAGTGTTCTTTAAAATGAACACACGTGTTGCCAGGATTGTACAAAGGGAGGAAGGCAGAGAGAGATCTTGTCTCTTGGTCATGTCTCTGACCATGAAATGAGATTTGTGCTTTTTTTTTTTTTTTTTTTTTGGCTTTGCTCAATAGAAAGCACTGAGAAAGTCTGGTAAAGGTGGAGTTTTCTCTCTTTCTGGGTCATATTTGGAGCTCACTTCTCTTTATAAATCAAAAGAATTAATGAAGTTTACCCCACCTAAGTGAAATTTGAATATTTCCTCTAGTCTCTTTCAAAACTTGGCAGTCAAAGAATATTCTCTCCTTTTGGACTCAGTTTCTTAAAGAAAGATAAATCTCATTAAAGAGATTTTAAAATAGAAGGATCTCACAGAAATTGTCCTTGAGCAGTAGCTGGCAGGCAAATGTGTTTCTTGAGTGGAAAATCTCACTCATTCCTTCTGGATATCTGCAAAGTGGCCAACATCTCTTGGTACAAAATTGGCACTCTTCACTGAAATTTTTGAATATAAAATAATAAATAAATATGTGGGTTTCCCCCCTGCCTCTAATACTGCTTTACATACATGAGCTTATATAAGAAGTATTCTGGAGAAAAACACGGAATGAGAACAATTACTTACTAGTGGTAATTGTAGACCAAATTCTCTTTTTTCTCACTACACCCTTAGGACCACTAGTTGGCTGTTTTACTGTGCATTCACTTGTTAATCACAGGTTCTTACCTCCCAACCCTGGCTAGGGTCCCCCTTCTTGCATGTCCCCCTTCCTTCTCTTCACTACCCCAAGAGTTTCTGGACACGAAGGAGCACTAGCAGTTTGGTTGTGTGCTATGGGCAGGTCCTTCCTTTCAGTTTTAGGATGCGCAACTGTGTTTGCTTTGGAGATTAAAACCTTCCTTCAAATAACAGGGTTTTTGTGGTGAAGACAGAAATTCAACCATATTAGTGGTAAGTTTATGTACATTTTTTTGTACAGAAGCTGAAATGGGATTATCAAACTGAGTCCTAGCACTGCACTGTAAAAAAGAAAAGAAAAAAAAGTTTTTGAATGCAACTAATTGTCTTTTGCAAGCTGAAGTATCATTGAAGAACACATTTATTATTGGAAGATCTAGCTGCTAAAATCACAAGGGGAGGGGAAATTGGAAGGCAGTAGGAACTATCTGTTCTGCATTTAGTGGTACATGACTAAATAAAGAGGAAATAAAGAGAAAATAAAGGTTTATCCAGTCCAGGAAGATGTGATTGCCTGAGATTCATGTCTGGAAAACTGGGGATAGCTGAGGCATGTGGTTGCAGTTGTACCACGGGTTACCTTCCCTTGATTTTTTTTATGTCGTGTATGTAGAGTCATGCCATCTACAGTCATGGCAGGTCCTGTCCTTACTATTTCATGCCTTTTGACATTGAAATGGCTGAATCATTGTTAATTTTTTTTGAACAAATTTTTTATTTTGTTGGTTTCAGTCACTGATTGATCCTTTTTTCACTTCCTTTTTTTCCCTTGTCTCTCTGTGCTTCGCTGGACATGGCCCATAGGGGAGTTCTCAGGTGTGTATCTCCTCTGCTCAGTTTCCTTTCTTGTTTCTTTTTTTCTTGTTGAGGTCGAATGCTGTGGTATACACATGTGATACTCCCCTGCTCTTGTCCAAACACGGTTGGCTTTGCGGACTTCTCCCACGTTCGCCTCGCTTGGTTGCCTTGCACTGGTGGGTCCCTGGGCAGCAGGACATCCCCGCTCTGTGCTCACACGCCTGCTGTGTTTCAATAAGCTTTTCTTGTGTGGCTTTCTTCAGGTTTGCTCCACTGTGTTACACTGGCCTGTCACTCAAGGTCTTGGGGCTCAAAGTGCTTTTATTACTGCCAGGACGGGTGCTGTGCTTAGAGCTGAGCTCGGGTGGGCACAGGACTGAGTTAGGTTCTCACTCTCCTCTCAGCGAACCACGCTGTAAGGAATCCCGCTGTGTGCATGATGGCCACTGTGGGTTAGTTGATGCATACTGGCCCTCTTCTGGAACAGCTGTAGTGACCTGAAAGACACTTTCTTAATGGATTAGAGTGGCAAAGCCTCTGTCTTTCATTGAAGATTTGCCCTTCTGGCAGGAGTTTAAGTGATAGCTCTGTCTTTTGTTTTGGTGAAGGAGACTTACTGCCTTAGGACCACGGTCTGTCATCAGAGGCTTTGCACCTTTTCTTAAAATGCACTTGGGTTCTGATGCAATTTCAGATGAAGTCTCTTGATTTCAGTGCAAATTGAATGAAGTTTTCCCTGTAGAAAAGGCAGGTGACTTACACAGATGTGATAGCATAATGCTGTGCGGCGATGAGCTCCGTCACGTTCCTTTGCCTGGCACCTCTTGGTGTTGGCTCTGTGAGGTTACAAAAGAAAGGGATGGCTTCGTCCTTTCTTTTAGTTCAAACTTTTTTTTACTTAAGCCACTTTTTTGTGGTCCTTTCTCACACCACCTCCCTCTGAAGTCGAGTTGGAGTTTGTTGCAGTGTGGAGGTGGATTTAGGCGTGTGCAAAAAGACCAGATGAGTGCTTTGATGTCCAACCCCCTTTTGTTTTTCCTCCTGTCCCTGTCCTTCCCTCACCCTATTCATAATGTCTGTTGAGCTACCTTTGTTGTGGGGATGGGAAACCCAAAGACATGTAATCTGGGGGAAATGATGAAGATCGAAGAAACAGATGAGCTCATCTGGAGCTTGTCCTGACATCTCAGGCGTAAATCCCTGTTAGGCCAGGCTGCAGCAGAACAAGGTGTACGTTAGTTACTACTGAGCATCACATATACTGGCACCACACAGATGTACACATGCTAATGAGCTGCTCTGTTTGCTATTTACAGATTGGTACTTAATGGCTGCTTTTTTCTCTTCCTTTCTTCCCCTTTGTCCCCATATCTTTCTGTTCCCTTTCTCGTATGGGATGGCTCTCATAGTACGGGATGATTTCTTTGGTAAGGCGAAGGCCTTTTTTCTTTTTTTCTTTTTTCTTCCTTTCCTTTTTTCTTTTTTTTAATGTGCATTTTTTCTTAAGTTCTTTCATTCACTCAGCATCCCTCCATGTCTTGCATTACCGTGGTTTGTTTTTTGTGATGGTGGTATCACCTCTCCAAGAAGCAGGACGCAGCTGTCAGTAGCGGTGATTTGGGGATTCTCCTGTTTCTTGTAGTTGACTATCCACTTTGATGCTTCACACTATTTGCCTGGCAGTGGGAGGCAGACAGTGTAGGATGGGCTCTGTTAGACAGGGCTCTGCCCAGACCTCTCTTCCCTTTGCTCCGTGCCACAACAAGGTGAAGAGATCTCCTTTTAGTCACTCCACAGCGGGGTTGGTTTTTTTTTTTTTCCCCATGGGCCAGGCTTTCCCATTACAGCCTGCATGATGTTATCTCATAGTGTCCATTCTATGGCTCTGGGATGGCTTCATCCATTTCTTTGTTGCAAGACTAGCCCTTCAGACCTCTTGCTGGTTAAAGCATTGGGCTGTGACTGTGTCACACACAAATAAGATAGAAGCTGTGGTGAGGATACTGGTGGTTGAGATGCTGTATGGCTTTTAGTTCTGGCATGATAGCTTACCCTCTTCAGAGTTCCTTTCTTTCCCCAAAACAGCTGCAGAGAGGGATAGATGACCCAGTAATGGGAGGGAAAAAGATTTATTCCAAAAGAACTGGAGATGAAGTCTTTTCTGGGGATTAACTCTTCCCTGGGGATGAACTTTTTCCTCAGCACCTGTAAAGTCCTTGTGCCATTTTAATGTATTACTGGCTACGTATTTATTTGATCATTTGTAGAATCACTAAAAAGTAAGAAAATAATTTAATAAACAGATGACTTCTTGATCTTCCAGCTAACATACAGCATGCCACAGAAGAAAGGGTGATAGGTCATTCACCTTACCATACCAAAAACACACTTCAGTTTACACTGCAGTTAGTGTCTCTCACTTTTTTGCTCTTTGCAATATTTTTTACACAGCATCCAAAGAACACATTGCCTGAAACATCAAAGTGATTAATTATCTGTCTACTAATTTTTCAAAAGTTATTTGAAAATGCTGCTTCTTACTCATTCTTGCTGGGAATTTGCTTTTGCCATCATAAATTCATCCCATTTAACCGTGGGAAGAGGATCTGTATGTTGGAGTGTTGTGATGTGTTCTCACTTCTTGTATGCTACCATGTTTCTCTAACTTTCATTTACTTCAAGTTTGTGTTGTTTTTATTCTATTGCAAATATTAATTAATCAGCAAATAATGAATCATGAAAACTGTTGATGTCTTTGCTGTAAAGGAAGAGGTAGTTCAGAGGGCAGGACAAGGAGCACTACAGCACAAACACTGATGGTTGTGAGACTTCTTCATGCTCTGGGACCTGTGGTGAGAAACGAGCTGCAACTCTCAGCACTGTCCCCCAACAGGGAGAGGTCTCTGCCTTCAGGTCTCAGATGGCCTCTATTCCCCACTGTAAGACAGAAGCGGACCCGGGGAGCCAGCAAGTCCCTGGCAGCAGGAAACAATCCAGATGTGCTTTTGGTCCCTAAATTCCTTTGTTTGGTTTTATGAAATACTGAATCCAACCTTCACTCTCAGCCCCAGATTTTTCAAAGTGCTTGCAACCCAATTTGCATATTTTAGTTGTTGTATGTTGACGCCCAAGTGCAAGTGCAGTGTGTCCAATATAGATATTTTCTTCAGTGTGAGTCTTAAGTGATGGGACTGAGACTTCAGATTTTAAACATCTGTGAGAAAGCTGTTAAGGTAGATAGAGCAATGGACAGTCTTAGGTCCTGTTAAAATTGCTGTGGTGGAAGGCTAATAATGAGAAGCCTTTCATATGCATGAACCGGCCACAACCATGATCTCAAATCTGTACTGAGAAACTGAAAATTTGGCTTATGCCAAGAAAGAAATCACTGATGTGTAGATCTGGACAGCAATTTGGACAGTGTTCTGCTGTCCTCTGTGAAAAACCCGTGGAATTCTACCTTCTTTCTATGTGAGTGTTGATAAAATGTGGTTGCAATAGCTCATGGCTGAACCAGGAGTTACTGACTTGACTCCCCCTAACTGGAATTAGTGAAGCTCTCCTCTCTGACCCTCTCAAGGGAGTCTGTGAAAGTTGGGATAAGAAGCTAGGTCTGCATTTGGGCTCTAAACACATGGGTGTCTTTGCTTGTGCTGCATGGTCTTTCAGCAAGAGGCACTCCACTCTCCACAGCAGGACACAGAAGCCTAGGGAAACCTAACAAAAGTGTTTTCTCTTCCTCAAGCATGAGTCAGGCAGTGCCACACAAGCTTCATATTTCTAGAAGAACAAGTGAAAACTGCCTGGCCTTTCTTTTCAGGAATGGGCAAAGAAGTGGGGAATCTGCTGTTGGAGAACTCGCAGCTACTGGAGACCAAGTAAGGAACTGTTGCGTGCTCTGAACTGCCTGCCTAGTTATAAGTGAGATGTCGTCTTGAAGTAGGACTTGGCCAGAACTCCTGCCTCACAGGGCCTTGCTCATTTATCTAACAGGTTGTCTTGAATACTTGTTGTTCCTTCAATTATAGAAGAAGAATTGCTCTTTTAAGTGACTTTCCTAACTATTTCCTTTCTGCAGGCACTTGGGCATGTGCTGGTAGGGTCTTATCCCGACTAAAATGAATGCCAAGCTTTTAATTCGCTTCAGTGGGCATCTAGATGTGGGTCTGAGCCTCTGTGAGGATATTGCTCTGTATAAGTTTTTATTTGCAAGGTTTTCTATTTGGAAGGAAAATTGTCTTACTGTTGAGAAGAATTTTCAAAGATTTAGTAGTTGATAAAGGAGAAGCAGACAATGTAATGGACTTCTTTTTTGAGAAAGGCTGGCAAACCAGATGCTAAAGCTAAGCAGCCAGGAAGAGGAATGCAGAGTACTCCCAGGGGAGAGTTGGAGACCTTACTGTGATAGGCAGCTGCTGACTTTAAAGATTTTAAGGTATTTTGGAGCTGATTGGAAATGCTTATTTATATCACCATCATCCACAATTATCCACAATTACAGATAACAGCAGTTCTGAAAGGCATGTTTCAGATCTTCATTCTGTTAAAAATAGATTTGAACCTTATGCAGGTGATAGGTTACCCTACACCTGCTTTCTGCAGTATTCTGCCATCTTCTTAAGGAGATGTTGGTCTGCCAGTCAGGATAGAGGACTGGACAAACCTCATCATGACCAGTTGTGGTGATTTCTTTGTTCTTCTGCAGCTCCTTGCCAAAATCTGCTTTTCCATGAGTTACAGCTGGATAAATACACTTGTTTCAACTCTCCTTGTAGTGCCTGTGACTTTAGTTTCAGGTCTCTCTTATGGACAGCTGCTGGTTTTGGGCATTTTTCCTTATTGTCCCTTTCACACCTTTAAGAAATGCTTTGAACGTTGTGAAGAATGATTTGATTGCCAAGGTGGACCAGCTGTCTGGAGAGCAAGAAGTGCTGAAGGGAGAGCTTGAAGCAACAAAGCAGGCCAAAGCCAAAATGGAAACCAGAGTCAAAGAGCTGGAGGAGGAGCTGAAAAGGTGAGTGATTCACACCCTGCCCCCAGGAGGTGGGAGGACAGAGTGATAAACCCACCTCCTCTGTTAGTTTTATGCTATTTCCCTCATGGTGGAGGTTAGCACTGGAATTCAGAGATACCTTACAGAGCACTTCCAGGCTGATGGTAGGTGGCTGAGATATTTTTAGTGTTGTTTTTGTTGGATTGAAAGGGGTTCTTGAACCTTAGAAAACCTGCAGAATTTTCCTCTCCAGGACTAGGATTCTGCAGCAGCAACTGCAAATCCAGGCTCCCTAGAGTGGAGCATTCAGAGTTTCAATCTGCAATTTCAAAAAACGAAAAAAAGAAAAAAGAAGAAAGGGTAATTTCAAAACCAATAGTTCTGAGGGAAACTTGTCAAGAGCTTGATCCTTGCAGCAGCCAAGACAGCTCTGAGAGGAATGAATGCCCATTCATTTAATGAAAGAGCTAATACAGATTGCCACAAACAATATTTAAGTGCCAGTATTGTTAATTGTTTCATTGTTCATGCTAAGGGTGAGAAAAAGAGGCACAGAGATTTTAAAGTCCTGCACAGCACCTGGGGAGATCCCACTTCTTTCTTTCCACTCAGACTAGAGGAACGGAAGCCTGCATGCCTGGCACAACGCTTGTGGTGGTTTCACATCCATGGAACTAAAGGTGCCCCACGGGGCTCAAAGCAACATAATTACATTTTGACTAGCTGTACATTGCACTGTGGTATCTCAATACAGAGGACAGTGTTTATTTTACAGCTGGAAGCTTGAAAGTTGCCTCTGTAATCTGAGCACGGAATCACTAAGAATAACACAGACTGGTGCCTTTGTTGTTCAGAATGTCTGAAATGAAAGTAGTCTCACAAGCGGTGGAAATAGGTCTGATTTTTTTAAATGCCCTTTTGTGTCTCATAATATACACAACATACTTAATATATTATGCAGCAGGGACATGGACTTTTAAATGGCAAGTGTGCCTTTTTAGGAGATGGAGATGGCATTTTTTTTCCTCAATGTCTCAGCTGTTAATAAAAGTGCTTGTATTTCAAATGGGACTGCATGACTGCATCTTGGTGTGGAGTTTAAAGAAATTAAAAGCACTCGGATAAATACTTGAAGCATTTCCTTAACGCGGATTTCGTGTTTTCTTCTTTACCATTATGGCAAACTGCCCTTCACATTAGAGGCTTTTTTCACTGTGTTGAAAACAGAAGCAGACCTAAGCCAGCATTTTCACTGCTGATAGTGGCTCGTTTTTCACATGGTTAAGAACTCATCAAACATTTGAACATAGATTATGGCTGTGAAATAGAAAGTCCCAGTGGTCAGTGTTTCGGTGCTTACATCAAGTGTTCCAAAGAAATGGGGTGATGTCAATGAAGCTGTTCAGAGTAATATGCTGCAAAAGAGAGGGAGAAATATCGTAATTTGTACACTTTAGCTTGCAGTTTGAAAACATTTCCTTGTGATGCATGCAGACAGACCTTCCCATGATGATCCTCCTCCCAGAACACCTCAGGGACAGCCATGGTATCACTTGCTGGTTTGATGCCTTTCTTCCTATTTCCTAGAGTGAAATCTGAAGCGATTGTTGCCCGACGAGAACCCAAAGAGGAGGTGGAGGATGTAAGCAGCTATCTCTGTACAGAATTGGTATATTACATTACTAAAATGCCTGCGGGGAAAGGGGGTTTATATACTTACTCTATATTACTTCATATATATGAGTCCTGAGATGCAGATTGATCTACCTTCATTAACGATGAGGGCAAAGCTGGTGAACTGTGAGTTGTTGCCGATGAGCATTGCTAATAGACAGATGCCATGAGATTACCTCTTCATGTGACTTTCAAACCATAGTTTGGCAACGATGAGCAACTGACACAGTGGCAATACCATGCACGATGTGGTTTCTGCAGAGCAGTGCTAGAGTGGTGCCCTGCTCAGCACCTTCCCTTTTTAGCTGGTTCTCCCTAATTTTGAATTACAGTCTAGTATGCAGTGTGGTTTTTCTTGGGGTCTTGTGATAGTCAGGCTTCTCCAGAAGAGCTTGTCTCCATGCTGTCAGTGAAGCTGTAAGGAGTGAGGACATTTGTGCAGTGAAATCCAGGTTATACAGACAGCTTTGCAGCAGTAACTGCCTTCTTTTATTAGTTCTGTAATTCCAATCTTGTGGCATTGTTTTTCTCATTATTTCTTTTACATAAGCCAGTACTGCCTGTTATGGGATACAGGCAGAGAAGGCTCATGGACTGTTCTTCTGTGACAGCTCTTCAAACTGTTTTGGCTGAGGTAGAGGCTTTTCAGCAAAAGCCAACTGTGGCCAAAAAAAAGGCAAACCAAAGCAGTAACAGAGATTTTTCCTTGTAAATGTCACTCTGCTAGGACAGGGAATTAGATACACCTCTTTTCACTATTACTGTGTTCATATTTTGTAAAAGGTATTGGAGCCGGTTAAGTCTAGCCTTAACTGGGGTGAACTTGGTCTGGTGAGAACTTAGGTAGATAGGAAAATTTTCAAGTTGTTCTTCTGAAATGCTGAAGAAGACTGGATTTTTTTTTAAGCTGACCTGACAGGAGGTCTTTTTTTTAAATAAAAAAAAAAAAAAGTCTGTAAAATTCCTTTTCATTTATACACTTCTTGTTTTGACTGGTCATACAGGTTTATTCAAAGTCCAGGGAGGCTGGAGAGGGACTTGGTTAATCTCTGCTGTTCCAGCTCTCAGCAGTACTCATCAGCTAAGCGACATCCCAATTCACTTGGGAATTGATACAGTCTAGGCACAAGCCAGTGCCACTTCCTAGTAATGAGTTCCCAAAATTCTTACGATTTCCCTTTGGGCAGGTATTTTCTCCAGCTGGCTAAGTCATTCTCATTTTCCACTCCACAAAAGAGGGAAACAGAATCTCATTCCTGTCACCTCCTAAGCCACATGTGCCCTCCTTGGAAGGCCAAGTTGTGTCACCAAAGAGGAAAAGGCTTTTCTTTAGTTTCTTGTGCCCTGCACCTTCATCAGTGTGTACTAACAGAATGCCTCCGTCCTAGTCCATTTGAGGGGACAGATGGCATTATGTAGTGCTCCCTGCTGCTTTTGATGGGATTTGCTAATGAACTAAAACTTTGGTTTCCAACTTTCTGGACCAACGGACCGCTGTCAACTCTCACAATTCCTTGCAGACTATCAAAGCACCTTGCTGGCAGTAGTCGCTGGGTGGGTTTTTCAGTTTGGTGATGGTTCTAATTTCTGTGGGTTTGCAGAACACCCCAGAGGTCCGTGGGCCATAGTTTGGAGCTCGCTTGTCTAGAATTAGCACTTTATATGGGGAAATTGGGGTAATCAAACAGAACAGGAGGAGAACTAACAGATAGGTCTTTCTGTCTCCTGACTTGCCCTGTACTAACAACAATCCCCTTCCATCTTTTGTTGGCTGAAGCAGTGCTCCTCCCCTCTGCAGGACAACATTCCCATAGCTCAGCGCCGCCGCTTCACCCGTGTGGAAATGGCCCGGGTTCTGATGGAGCGCAATCAATACAAAGAGAGGTTGATGGAGCTCCAGGAGGCTGTCAGGTGGACAGAGATGATCAGGTGAGACTGGGTGTTGGTGAACATTCCTATTTAGGACAGAACCTGGCTGTGTTTGACCTTGCAGTCAGTGGAACCTCTGCCAAGATATGGGTTGAGAAGTGCTGAAAGTTTTCCAAACTGTAGGTGCTTCTCTTCTATTAGCTAATTCTTTCTCTCTTACTCCTGAACCTGGGCTGAAAATCTTGAGTTGCCATTGATATTTGGATACACTGACAGTTGTTTGTCTTGCTTGTTTCTTGTGTGCTAATTAAGCTAGGAGCAGCTATAGGGAAGAGGATTGCTTCTAATTAATGAATTCTAAAGGCTATAGTTTGAAGTGAATGTAATTCCAGGGTGTGTAGTTACCAGACTAGTACTGTAACAATGATAATGTTGCAGGGAGTTGATAAAACTTCAAATTGAACACACTTACTTGCACTTCAGTCAACATTGAAATATAAAGTGGTTGAGTGTGCTTACGTTAAAGACCAGTGCACGTCACTTCCTCTGTTGTGTTTTGAAACATGTTAGAATGAATTCTGAATTTTGACATGGCTTCCTTCATGGAAGTGGCCTGCTGGTTGGCAGAAACTTGGGTAAGAGATGCTGAAATTAATTTGCTTCTGCTGTGTTTGTCCTTAGAGCATCCCGTGAGCACCCGTCCGTCCAGGAGAAGAAGAAATCCACCATTTGGCAGTTGTAAGTTCTTTGGTTGTTTGTGTAAGATTCAGAAAAGGGGAGGCGTTGCCATTTCTACTTTAGACAACAACTTAATAGACTCTGACATTAATGAAACATCAACTAAAATTGTTGTTAGCTGAACGCTTTTACCTTCACGAGTTTCCTTTGTCCTTAGTGAAATTAAAATCAGATCTGAACATCGACATTGGTTTTGTTTTACAATCTGAAAAAGATCACAAGTACCCTTTGATACTTGTGAAGAATGATTTGATTTCCATTCCATTGGATGGAAAAATACATACGCTCACAATCAGTTTTAATAAAGAGCTGTTTTCAGAAGGTATCTGTTTGTGGATGCTGAAAACACCTTACGTCAATCAAACTGAAGACTTCTATGTTTGAAGTAGGGCAGTTTTTATGAAGGACTTACAGCCCCTCATTGTGTACCTCTTGCTTACCCTGTTGTGAATCTATGGCATGTAGTCTCCCCAGGCATCTTTTCTCATATTTGTTGGCCTTTTTCCTTCCTTAGCTTCAGCCGTCTGTTCAGCTCTTCCTCAAGTCCCCCACCAGCAAAGAGGACCTACCCATCTGTGAACATCCACTACAAATCTCCAACAACAGCCGGGTTCAGCCAGCGTCGCAGTCACACCATGTGCCAGATTTCCTCTGGCAGCCGCACCCTGGAGTTCTTCCCTGAAGAGTGAGTTGCGTGCTGTGTGCCAAGCCAGGTTCCCCTGCAGCTCTCCCAAATAGCACTTTTTATTAAAATAAGCTGTTTTCTGCTTTAAAAAAAGTCTGTGTGATGTTAATATATTTCTGTCTCTTGTGGTTTATCTCCCTGATCTTTCACTCATCAGTTACCATGTACATGGGCTTAGCAAACTTTGTCCTCCCAAACATGTTGCTGCCGTGGCTTTTTAGACCATGATAGTCTCAGCAGGGACCACTGTAGGCTTGAGTTGGCCTCAATCCTAGTTCTGCACTCATGTTTGCAGACTGTGCGATAGAATGAAGTTGTGGTGGAGTGTGATGGCAGCATTGGGACAGCAGGATGGAGTGTCTTGCCCAACCCTACTGACAAGGAGTTTAGGTGAAGACAAAAGTTTTCTCAACAGCACATTTCCGATACAGTATTTGGTTTTCATCATGGTGTTGCTACTGCAGAGTCTTCTCCCTATACTTCATGCCTCTGACATAAAGGGAGAAAACTCTTCTGTGCTTCACTTGACTTCAAAATGCACGTGTTCCACCATTATGAGGTTATACGGTTTCATATGTGGTATGTTTTTGTGGAAGGAGTTTGGAGAATATGATGGTAAAGTATTATAACTTCTGCAGTAAGAAGGATTTGTTGGAAAGGCACTAGATCAGGAGAGGAGAAATGTCTTTAGAAGGGTAAATTTGTGTTTTATAGATACCCACTGCCTTTATTCTGTTCTTTTTATCTGATCACAGTATCATAGTCATTGTGTGGTGTCTGAGTGCTTTTCAGCAGTGCATTAAAGGATGTGACTAACCGCTGTCAGAAGCTGTTTGTTCTCTCATCCTCTCCCCATGGGAGGAAGCATGTGCAGGGAAGTGTTTTGTTTTAGCAGGGGGTTGTTTTTGTTTTAAGTATATATGTCATCATTTTTTGCTGATGTTGTGCATAGCTTGGAATGGTATTTTAAAAACCTATTGAGAGCTGGAACTGATATTCGTGCAGCCTTTGTTTATATTAAACCAGATTTTAAGAGCTCACAGATCAATTTTTCTTTTAACCTTTGCCAGTGCAAAGCTGGAGTTGTTCTGTTGAAACCAGCAGTTTCAACAGCAGTTAGTGCATATTTTCCTTGTCAGCAGAGAAAGCTTTAAAATGGACAGAAAAATAAATAGTTGACTATAGTGAAGAAGGGAAGAACTCAAAATGCCTTCCTGATGCAGATGTTACATCAGTAAATTGTAACAGCTAAGCAAAAACTGGTGTAATCTCATAGATTGATAGATTTTATGGAAGATTGATTCCCTGTTTCTGAGGGGTTCTTGGAGTATTGAAGTGGGGATGACAATGATTTGGCCTGCGACATAGCTCAGGTAACAGGATATTAGAGATTGGGGATGCCTGTGTCGGCTTCCTTAGCAGGGTTTTCCTCTCTGATTTCTTGCATCTGTTTTCAAAGATGGATTTGGTTTGCTTTGTGTTTCCTCCCCCTGCTATGGCGACACTTCCTAAACCTTCAGCTTCTCTTTTTAACCATAGATGGAGAAGTAATGCTGTTGCTTCTCTCCTCAGTGACTGTACATCCTCAGCACGTCGCGAGCAGAAACGGGAGCAGTACCGCCAGGTACGGGAGCATGTGCGCAACGATGACGGCAGATTGCAGGCCTGCGGCTGGAGCCTCCCTGCCAAGTACAAGCAGGTAGGGACCACTCTCTGGACAGGCTGAGGGAATGTTGCCCCCTCACAATGAAACCAGTGAAGACCTAGCTCTCGCACTGGTAACCTTAACCTTAGTCCTTAAATATTTAATTTAGAGGTATCATATGCATGTTTTATTTGTATGATAATTGTAGGCACACATTAAATTAATCTTCTCTGTATCTCCACCAAAGTCAATGGAGGGGGCATTCCTTTGGACTTGTTGGTCAACAATGCAAATGAGCTAATTGGTGATGTCAAGATTGGAGGCAGCCTGGGCTGCAGTGATCATGCACTGGTGGAGTTTGCAGTCCTGAGGGATATGTGCCAGGCAAAGAGTAAAGTCAGGACCCTGAATTTTAAGCAAGCAAACTTCCTTCCAGTTGGATTGAAGGGATTTTCAGTAGTAAAGGCTGCTCATCAGGAGAGAGTACAGAGCAAAACAGCTTTAGGAAATGGTGCCATAAAGGAACTGTGATTGCTATCAAGGATTAGACACCTCATTTTTTATGCAGATCTTGAACATATGAATAATGGGTCCTAAAACTCTTTAACAGGAAGAAAATAGCAGTCTGGAGTCTAGTACTACTGGGACTTATGCTCACCAATGTCTGGCATGTAGATTAATTACTCTTTACTAACCTGTTCTCATCAAATGGTGATGAAATATCTTCAAGCAGGCTAGAGCTTTTTCCTTTGACACAGCTTCTCTGTTTCATAGAGCTATGTGTTGATATGTGGTTGTAAAAATAGTAAATGATTAATCCAGCTCTCAGTTTTCTCCAGCTCACTGATAAATACTATATATTTATATATTCTTAATTGTTATATTAAAGTCCCTCAAACTGTAAGAAGAATCAGGTTTGTGACCACCTGAGGAACGTAAATATGCACAAATCTATTGGACATGATGAGATGCATCCCAGGGTCCTGAGAGAATTGGCTGATGTAGTTGGCAAGCCACTCTCCATGATACTTGAAAAGTCATGGCAGTCAGGTGAAGTCCCTGGAGACTAGAAAAAGGGAAACATTGCACCCGTTTTTAAAAAGGGTAGCAAGGAGGACCCTGGGAACTACTGGCCTGTCGACCTCACCTCTGTGCCTGGGAAGATGATGGAACAGATCCTCCTAGAACCTATGCTGAGGCATGTGGAGGACAGGGAGGTGATTTGAGACAGCCAGCATGGCTTCACCAAGGGCAACTCCTGCCTGACCAACCTAGTGACCTTCTATGATGGAGTGACCACATCAGTGGATGAGGGAGGAGCTATGGATGTTGTCTAGCTGGGCTTCTGTAAGGCCTTTGACACGGTCCCCACAACATCCTTCTCTCTACATTGGAGAGATAACGGAGTTGATGGGTGGACTGTTGGATGGATGAGGAATTGGTTGGATAGTCGCGTTTGGAGGGTAGTGGTCAATGGCTCAATGTCCAGATGGAGATCGGTGAAGGGTGGTATCCTTCAGGGGTCTGTGTTGGGACCAGTACTCTTTGATATCTTCATCAATGACAGAGACAGTGGAATCGAGGGCACTCTCAGCAATTTTGCAGATGACACCAAGCTGAGTGATGTGGCTGACACGCCTGAGGGATGGGATGCCATCCAGAGGGACCTGGACAAGCTCGAGGAGTGGTCTTGTGTGAACCTCATGAGATTCAACAAGGCCAAGGGCAGGGTCCTGCCTCTAGGTCGGGGCAACCCCCGGTATCAGCACAGGCTGGGGGATGAAGGGATGGAGAGCAGCCCCATGGAGAAGGACTTGGGGGTACTGGTGGGTGAAAAGCTGGTCATGAGCCGGCAATGTGCACTCGCAGCCCAGAAGCCAACCATGTCCTGGGCTGCCCCCAAAGCCGCGTGGCCAGCAGGGCGAGGGAGGGGATTCTGCCCCTCTGCCCCGCTCTGGGGAGACCCCCCTGCAGTGCTGCATCCATGCTCTCTCGGCACAGGAGAGACATGGACCTGTTGGAGCGGGGCCAGAGGAGGCCCCAGCAATGCTCCGAGGGCTGGAACAGCTCTGCTGGGAGGACAGACTGGGAGAGCTGGGGGGGCTCAGCCTGGAGCAGAGAAGGCTCCAAGGAGACCTTCCTGCAGCTGCCAGGCCTACTTAAAGGGGGCTTAGAAGAAAGATGGGGACAGACTTTTTAGCCGGGTCTATAACGGTTTTAAACTAAAAGAGGGGAGATAAAAGGAAGGAACTTTTCACAGTGAGGGTGGTTAGGCACTGGCCCAGGTTGCCCGAAGAGGTGGTCGATGCTCCATCTCTGGAAACATCCCAGGTCAGGTTGGATGGGGCTCTGAGCAACCTGCTTGAGTTGAAGAAGTCCCTGCTCACTGAAGGGGGGATTGGACTAGATGACCTTAAAAGGTCCCTTCCAACCCAAACTATTCTGTGATTCTGTGAAAGTGCTGAAAGAACCTACCCTAAACCAAAAGTAATTAATCTTCTTAGTCCAGAGCTCAGTACTTGTTTTTATTTCCTTTGTTGCTATAATTGGGCTTGAGCGTTAGATATTTAATTTATACTCTACCAATTGTTTAGTCTGAAAACCAAATGCAGTGCAGTTTGCTCCCACTTCTCCGCAGCAGTAACACAAAATCAAATGTCATCAGCCTCATTTGTTGGCCTATGACTCATTTAATGGGTCAAAGATCACCTGAAAGGAAGGAGTCTTGCAATGTGGCTCGAAAGTGGATGAGTTTCAGGCCCTGGTGGAAGGGGACACCAGTGTTCTGACTTCTTTGCAGGGAGCATCCGTTCACAACTCTTTCTCTGTCAGCAGTGCAGTGTATAGCCTCTGTTGACCATAACTGGGGTACCGTATCATGGTGAGAGAAGCAGTGTCTTGGGTAGGCTGTTCCTATCCATGTAGGTACTCTGTTTCATACAAGATGTGAGATGAAGCCTCAGCAGCGCCCAACTGTGAAGTTAGTAAGTTTGGTTCTGCCATATTGGTTACAAGTTTCTTACCGTATCCTGGTATTTACAGCTTTGCACTGTCTTTTTGTCTTCCCTTCCCCCACAGCTGAGTCCCAATGGTGGTCAGGAAGACACTCGCATGAAAAACGTCCCTGTGCCTGTATATTGTCGCCCACTAGTAGAGAAGGACCCAACTATGAAGGTACATTGTCTCTTCATACCATTCCAGTCCAGAAATGGGGCAAGGAATAAGCAAAGAATTTTTGTTGCTAAATGTGCAATTTTTACAACAATCCATTTTTTTTACATTATATATTCCAAATTCTATCTTCTGCTTCCTTTTTTTGAATAGTGGTTTCTAGTGTATGTAGGGAA